ATAAAATAAAAGATGTCCTCGTCACTTTCATTTTGCAAAATACTATCTTATGAAGCATGTTATAATGCTAGACTTCAGGTTTGGTAGTACTGTTGATGATGAATAAACTGAAGACAAAAATATAACTTTTAAGTCACTAGGTGCTCTAGCCCGTTGAAATGACAATTGGGAATTTTGCAGGCTACTGCAGGATTCAGTTTTTCTTTTCTGTTCTGTTGCAAAATGCAAATGTAAAATCAATGTGTATGAGAAAGATAATATTAGATCATGTTATGTTCACCAACTCCATATTTGAAATCAAGAATATTTCTTTTCTGGAGTTGGAGAATGTTAGATTGCTAAATCAGCCAGTTCTTTTTCATGGTTGGTTGAGTTCAAGATTGAGGTGGAGGCTCGTACTAGATGCAAAAGTTAATCAAATCTTATGACGTCAAAAATCTAATCACTTTTCTTCGGGCATCCCCTATCAAAAACCAACTGAATTAGACTCCGTCATAGTGAAAAGCGGGGAGAGCTAAAATTCTCCTTAAGCTTCCATCCACTTCCCCCCGTCAAATATGTCAAAAAGATGGTTAGATTGTTCATATCACAATCTTATCTAATTCTTGCGGCTTATTTCAGAACTTAGAAGCCAGTACAAAAAGATTTTAGATGGATAAAAGGCAAAAACAGACTGCTTGCCCCTCTTCCTTTGCTGATCCGATGCTTGAACATATATATTTTTGCTGTAAGCTCATCCAGGAAGTCTTCAGATTCATAATTAACCTACGTATGTACTGAACAGTTCGTCTGAAAAGAGCTTAAACTAATGGCAATGCGTGCTACGCTTTGAAATGAGGGATTAAAATAAGTCAGTATGGTGTATTCTCTGAGAAGATATGAAGTAAGTTGCTCGAAAATAATGAAGGGCAGAGGTGTAGAATGAGTAGCCACGACACTTAACGGATTGAGTCAAGGTGTAAAATGGATCGCTATCTAGTCTAGAAAATAATGTTTACTATGGGTGTTTGAGACAGTGTTAAAGGAGTGTGTTTCAGGGACGGTGAAAGTGTAAAGGGACCTTTCCAAATGAAAAATCAAAGGGACCGGAAGAAGTTAAGAACTGAAAAGACTAAAATAAGGCTCAAGTAGATTTTTGAACTAACAAAGGAAATGGTATGGTAGTAAACTATATACCATATAATTTTCCATCTTATTATCTTGGACATGCCACTAGTACTCCAAAATCTACACATTTGTAGTAAGTGAATATTTCAGTATATACTTTGCTTGTTTTACAATCTCTTAATGCTATGCAGGGGTGATTTTGACCCGAATAATTTTGAGGATAGAGTTGTATCATCTGTTTTCATGGTTGGACTCCTTATGGCATCTTCAATCTTCTGCAAGGTAATCACTTTGTCTTCTTGTGATTGTTGCTTACCCCTTTAAGGCCCTGATAAATTTTGAAAACACTGCATGAAAAGAAGATTGAGATTAATAATGTTAGTGCAGAAAATGATCTTCGTATTGCATGAGGAAAATCTGACATGATGTGATTTTGAACATTATTGAGCACCATAACCCCGTGAATTCTGCACATATTTGCATCCTTCAAAAGAGGAAAAGGACAATCCAGGAAAGCAGATGGAAATTTTATGGTAGAGATGCTCAAGCTATGGCGCTCCGGGATGGTCTCATTCTTGCGAAGGAATGTGGACTAAGAGCTCAGGCGGTCGAGTGTGACTCGCTCTGGACGTTTCAGAATCGCCACCCAAGACTTTAGTTATGCTCATAACGCATCTATTTTATTAGACATGGTAACTTTGTCGAATGATCTAAGTAGTAGTTCGGGTCATTTTGTTTCTCGAGATGGAATGAAGTGGCCCTTGAACTCACGGCTTTTGCTTGTTCAGATATGGTCTAGTACGTTGGTTTGATTGTATTACTTTCTTTACCTCGTTTCTTGTTCGTGGCATTTTGATTAAATGAATACATCCCCGCATGTTTTTCAAAAAATAAAAATAAAACAAAGAAGAAGAAGAAAATCTGAAGTGATTATCAAGAAACTTTGCTGGCACTGAAATTGATCTACTTTTATCTGTCAACATAACACAAAATAACATATTGTACTGCTGATCTTAATGCTATTCACGATGATACACACCGAATCACTTTTAAGCATTTCATCGGGACATTCCTTACAAGCAAACACACCGAATCAGATTCTTTCGTACTGAGAAATGGACAAGAGCTAATATACTCCATAAGCATCACTAAACTTTTCCCGTAAAGATAAGGATGACAAAATTATCCGCCTCTATCCTGAATTTCCTGAACTTGTCCCGAATCTTTTTAATTTAAAGTATTTTATTTTATTTTTATGTTTCTAAATTTAAATCGTATTAAAAATAAATAATTATTTGAGCCGGAAGATAAATGGAGATATTTTAGTCGCCTCCGCTTGCAAATTCCCCTAATTCGCCCAACTCTCGAAAATCCCCGATGAGAGTGAGAGGGTAATGGTCATCCTGTCCCTTTTCATCTCATTGTCATCTCTACTTGAAGATAAGTTAATTTAGACGGAAATTACCAAAATAGCAGCCTTTTTTTGACTTTGCTGCTTATGTGAATATTTAAATGGAGCTTAAACTATTGGTGATGAGTGCTTTCTCTTTCTCATATCAAACTTCTCTGGTAAAGGTAGAAGTAACTTATCTATGATTACATGCAGACAGAGAGCTTAAATTAAAAGTCGGCCATGTGGCAAATTCACTATTAATATGAAAATTACTTATCTAATAATTGAACCATGGAGGTGTAAAATGGATAGCCCTGACAATTTTAGAAAACATGAAACAAGGTGTAAAATGCGCTAATAAGATACCTCTGGAAATAATGTTCGATATCATCTCTGTATGTATAAATTAACATTCCTTGATTTAATTAATGCTAGTTCTATGATTGATTGCATTGCATAGAAATGTCAAAATGTAGTGAACTGTTTAGATTCGAACCAAAAATCCACTCCAGACACGACTTAGCATAAGTGATGGGTTAGCCCTCTTCCAAGAGAGGGACATGTGGCCTGCTCAAGCTGTTCTAGACAGGCTTTCAAAAAAAAAATATAATAAATAATAATAATAATAATAATAATAATAATAATAGACAAAGGCAAGCTTTGTGACAGAAATTTGTTGAACTCTATCATAGAAAATGTAAGCGTGTTTATTAATTAAATAATAAAATAAAGCTAGAAAGTTTATCAAGGATCTCCTGTCCACAATGAACACGAATTATTATATCTGTTGACCCCAAAAAGTATTGCCAACAGATGTCGGTCCCACCGCGCACACGTGGACGAATGTTCAACACGCTAAGACACGTAGACAGTCTAAAATGAGGGTTCTAAGGGCGTGGGAGTAGCCCAACGACGCGGGACATTGACGTTCGGAATTCGGCGAGTTGTTCGTGATCCGATTGTACAATAATTATCAACCGGTGTTCGTAAATGTATATGTAAATGTGTATAAACTCGATTTGTGTATTGTAAGTAAATGAGAGAGTTGAGTAAAATATAGTTCTTTGTATTGATTCTTGCATTAGCCTTTTGATGTTACGCAAGGGAAGTATTTATAGTGATACATATGAAATGGGAGCCCTTGGATGAGCTGGCACGTGACCTCATCTCTTTAATTCAAACATCCCATCCTAGGCATGGGGCTTGACTTGCTAGCTTGCTGCGCATTTATTGCTTTATGCAGGGCCTCCATACTAGTGACAAGACTTGACCTTTATGTTTATGACAAACGTTCCATCAATCATTCGAATAAGATCTTTATGCAGACGATCTCTTAGGAGAAGTGAACATGGAGGACACTTCTTCGTGGTTCGGAGGCTCCTGCGTCTGCTTCGGGGCTTTGGCCATTTCACACGATACTTCCGCTTGAGGGCTTCAGCTATCTTCAACTAGTTTCAGCATCATGGCTTCGGTTCATGGGTTTCGACATGTGGACCTCAGGTACGTTTACAGGCCTCGGTAAAAAGGAGACTCGGCAAGTGGACTTCGGCTTGAAGGCCTCGGCGTTGCCCCACCTTGGCAATCTATGTCACCTTGGCTGGAATGCCACGTGGATCGCCCTGAGTGGGCCATAATGGCCCAGGTAAATTGGCCAAGTATGACCACACACAACAATATCCATTGTGAATTTGACAACATTTGGTGTTGCTATTAGTTATTATGCTCATCGTTGATGTAACAATATATGGTGTTGCCATCTGACATGACAACTTTACGCTTTTAATACTATGGTGTGACAGTTTATTTTCTCTCTTTTTATGAAAAGCATGTCTTTAAAATGTATGATATAACAAGACTTTACATTCATAAACTAATGAACAAAGTAGTCTAGCAATAGTTAGGTATAGTTATAAGTCGAAGTTAATCATGTTCTATTGCATGATATGATTACATATTGGACGAACATCTCGTCAATCGCCCAATTTTCAATTTTTTGTTGAATTATATTTCAGTTATTTATATGTAAATACATTGTTTATTAAATCATTGATTGATGGTCATTATTCTTTAAAAATAATATTTTGAATAATGATTTTCTAAAGAATGTATAGTTAAAAAGTAAGAAAAAATTAAGTTTATTGTTTACGTGTAAAATATTTTGTTGTGCAAATGTGTTGTTAGAGATGAATATGAAAAATAAATTATTTTATTTTAGATGGAATAGCTTAAATGATTACACTTTTTTTCTTTTCTTTTCAGTCCTTGTCCGATTCTCATTCTTTTCAAAATTTATTTTTTCCTATCTCTTCAGTTACACATTTTTAAATAAAATAATATTAAACATAAATTCAAAGCTTTTACTTAAATTTTTTTAACCACGCTTTTTTATCAATTCATTATTTAAAAATAGATTATTAGCAATAAATGGGGACGAACCGTAAAATTTGTCTTTAAATTATTTGTAAATGATGATAAAAGAATCTTCAGGATGTATACATCGAAAGGTCTTTGTAAGATTCGAAGCAATCTATTGAAACAAATCTTAACAAATCCCAAAACAAATATGCCACTCATAAAGCGAATAGAGGCCATAAAAAAGTCAAAAGCAAAGGTGAAACCTGACGCCCTCAGTTGAAATATTTGTTCCAACCAAAATTCCAGTGTTAATGGAAGAGGAAAAGCCACCGCAGCCACAGCCGGTGGAGTGGTACTCAACCCCAAAACCACCTCCTGGAGCCGGGTCCATGGAGGCGGAGAAAAGCATGGATGTTGCTCCAATCCCATCTCCATTATCAGCTTCCAAACCTTCTTGGTTCAGTCCCATAAGGTTATCTTTTTTGCTACGTGGGTCTCCAGGAATTTGTTGGTTTCTCTTGTCAAATTGTGTTTCAATGCGTGCAATTGAATGTGTTTTTGCATTCTTCAATTTTATCTGAGGACATGGTGTGTAGAAAATAGTTTGTTTCACTTCTGTATTCATAGTTCATGCGGATCAATGCGTAAGCTAATGGAATATTTGTAGTAGGGTGTTAGGGAAATTGGTTATTTATGTGTTGGGTGATGGAAGGATGACAACGGCTGAGGTTTTTGACTTATATTAAATTTTGAAATTGGATGGTGGTGAATGATGACAATAATTAATACATTTGCTTTTTAATGAATCTTGAAATTCGATTTATTTAAAATAATTCCATTTAAGAAATAGAAATGCATTTTATCAGTTGTAGAAGTGGTGGATGCTTGTTAAATCTGGAATCTGCTGTCTTGCCATTAAATAAATTCTCTTAATATGATTTTCGGCAGGTTGCTTGTTATATTTTGTGTAATTAACTTAATAAATTATGTGGACCGCGGAGCAATAGCTAGCAACGGTGTCAACGGGAGCCGCAAGACTTGCTCAAAAAATGGTCAATGCTCACAAGGCACTGGAATTCAGTAAGTTCAATGTCAACAATTGATCACTATTTCTTATGCTGTACTTTGTTCATGGAGTATTCTCCTTTCTTTATCTAACCCAAACCCTTGATAATTGTATTTTTTACGCACTCTCAATAGTTATCCAGAAGATTTAAAACTGTCCTTTATCTCCATATAGCCCATTTGCACATTGTAAAAGACCTTAAAACTTCTAACATCTCAAAGGATTTAAAATAAAAAGGGGACGCACTGCAATCCATTTTCTTTAACTTCTACTTTCTTCCCACTTTTCACTCCAAGTGCAGAGTGAAATCTATCTCCATCCTCTCTTGAATCTTAAAAGACCAAGAGAAAACAGAAAGCAAAAACAAGAAAACGAATAACCCCTCAAGAAGAGTTTCGGTTCTAACTAGAAAATTTCTTTTTAGCTATGATGCTCGGATTCGGGTACAAATATTGGGTATGGGTGCATATCTAAGTTTTGAATATTTTATTTTCTAAAATGTAGGATATGGAAACATAACTAAAAAGAGTCCAAATTTTGAATACGGGTATATGGGTACGTTTTTCAAGTTTCAATTTTTTTTTACTAACCCAAGATATCATTTTGAATAGATTAAAATGAATTGTTCACAAAGAGGGAAATGAGAATTGAAAAAGGGATTAAAACAAATAAAATATAATTTTGGGATTTAGTTTTCAATTATGGCAAGTTAATTATTAAATGTTATATAAAATAGAAAATGAGGAACTTGATTGCAATTTGGACTTAGTGGAGCACTAAGTAACACTATATTGAACCCAATTTCATTTTATACAAAGAAAACACTTAGCCACCGATACAATGAGGGAAAGAAGAAAAGAGAAAGAAAAAAGAAAGAATAAGGGAAAATCTAGCGCCATCGCCTTTCTCTACCCTCTCAGAGGCTAGGTTTATAGAGGGCAGAAATGAAAAAGAAAAGGGGGAAAAAAAAGAAGAAGAAGAAGAAGGAAGTAAAAATGGCGAAGTGTCTGGTTGAACTTGGTGGATTCAACACATATTCCATACCCATGTCGTGTCGTGTCGTGTCCAATATGGGTACTCCAACCATTTCGAAGAGTCCGAGCTTTAGAGCTTTTTAATAGTTAAACAAGGCATAAATTTGGCTATTCATTTTAATCAGCCCTCGCCATATGAGTTTCTGCAATGCTGTGTGAGAATTTGTTGATGCTCATATAACAATATTGTTAGTACCCATTCTACTTCTCCAATAACCTATACATTTAGACTAACTACCAAATGAATAACTCTGAATATACTCCGCCTTGTTTCATAAGTCTCTTTCTATGCAGGGGTGATTTTGATCTAAATAATTTTAAGGACGGAGTTGTATCGTCTGCTTTCATGGTTGGACTCCTTGTGGCATCTCCAATCTTTGCATCTCTAACTAAGAGGTAATCACTTTGTGTTGTGATTGTTTCTCACCTCCATTATTATTTTGATAGAACTTGAACACTCTACGTGAGAAGAAGATAGTGATGAATCCGGAAATATTAATCAGAAAGAGATATTCATGTTGTTGAAGAAAATGTGAAATGGTTATCAAGAAGAAACACTGCTGACATTGAATTTGTTGGAGTTTTCCTGTCAAAATTGTACAAGTACAAATTACACCACTATATTTTCCTTGGCACATTTTAATGTTATTGATGTCACAACAATGACATTGCAGTAAAATAAAATGACAATGAATTATGTCCTGTCAAGCCTACATTGATGAAGTTCTTTCCAGCAACTATGTAAAGTATTTGAACTTTCCAAACTGTATCATATTACTTATTTTCAGAAATTGCTTGTCATGTGAGTTTTGGTAACTTGATCTGTTCAATAATCTTATACAATCAATATATATATATATATATATATATATATATATATATAGGATGTCAATTTTGAAAGAGCTACTCTGTCTAACAGAATGGGTTTCTACCTGTCTAGAGCTAGCTAATTATAGCTCATATACTTGAATTTTGTAGGGTCAATCCGTTTAGGCTTATTGGAGTTGGTTTGTCAGTCTGGACCATTGCTACTGCTGGTTGTGGTTTTTCGCAAGACTTTTGGTCCATTGCAATTTTTCGCATGTGAGTAAAATTCTCTTAATTACTTAAAGGTAGTTTGCCACACCTGTTATATGTTTTTATTATATTGTGATTGTTTTATTTGGCTTTTTATTATTAGGCTAGTGGGTGTTGGCGAGGCTTCTTTTATAAGTCTTGCAGCTCCATTCATTGATGATAATGCCCCACCTGCTAAGGTTTGTCGTTTCAAGCAACGAGACATTACATAAAATTTACCCTTCTTTGCACGTGAAACTATTTTCTAACTTTATGTGCTTGTTTCAATAGTGCTTTTTGAAATTATTTCAAATATACACCTTTCTTTATAGTAAAGTGTAATTTCCTCGAGGCATGTAGGTTAGTGAAACTCACAAACTAACCATCAACATGTATGTTCATCTTATTATGGTAATGTGGATTCTCTTGTTATATACTTTTGTGATCTAGAATGATGCGAGTATTTTGAAGAAAATAGCAGTATATAGTAGTTATGAGACACATATAGTCTATCACAGTGTACATTGTGCTTTGATTTGTGCCAAAAAAGTTAATTTGATTTCTCTAAACTTGTGGAAATTAAGATTGGAGTAATCATGTGCGTTTAATCCATATTACAATTTGCGTATTTCCTGTTCTGAGGCCCTTATATTTTCTGTCTCATCTTTTGCACCTGAACTATACATTTGATGTGGTCTTTTCTTTTGTCAGAAAACATTGTGGCTGGGAGCATTTTACATGTGCATTCCGACTGGTATTGCACTTGGTTACGTTTATGGTGGAGTGGTATGCATATTCTTAATAACTATTTTGTATCAAAATTTTTAATGTTTTATAGTCAAATGTTTTCGTACAACTTTTCTTCCTTGTTTATGTTTTTATTACCTAATCCATTGAGAAAATCTTATAGCCTTTTCCTCATGTGTAATAAATATTCTCATTGTTTCTTTGCTTGTAGGTTGGGAGTTACAAGTGGCGTTTGGCATTTTGGGTGGAGGCCATTTTGATGCTTCCTTTTGCTATATTAGGCTTTGTGATGAAACCTTTGCAGTTGAAAGGTCCA